GTGAGAAGGGTGCTGATACTAGTGGACGATCAGCGTCCAAGTCAACCGTGGTCCAAGACCACTATATGTACCTTCACCGCCCGGTTGCTCGTCCCCGAACGAGAATGACGCGAAACTGTTTGTTGCGCGCTTCAGATCACGTCGCACTGGCACATACAAATCAGTTTACGAAACATCTGAACAGTGAAAGGCGAACATACGGCTACGTTCTTTCGCCTTCTTCTGATCTTCCTCGGTCCCAGGAACGAAAGGCGCGTCCTCAGCATCCTCGGGTACCGTGTCGCCGCCACTATCGTCTGCAGCTGTGTCCGTAGCCCTTTGCTTTCCTTTGCCTTTGACTATGTGCAGTTGGAACATATGTGTGGCAGTGATAGAAGGCAGTGACCAACCGTCGCTGAGCATCGACTCAATGCTTGCGCGCCACTCTTCTCCCGGTGGAAAGTCATCAGAAGTCTCTTCCTCTCCTTCACCGGGAAGATATTCTGGCGCCCATAGCTCGTCACGGTGCATTGGTTGACCTTCAGCGGTCCACGCGAGGTAGTGTTCGCGTCGGAAGTGGCCGAAGATAACTGACAAGCAGTATCAGTGCATGGACCGGACACAGCTTAAACCATGGCGTACCAAAATACAGAACGGACTTCCCAGCCACCAGTAGTTGGATGACGCTGGTGAAGTACCTCGGAACCGTTCAACCCCGACTTCCGCGACGTGAGACCAAGCTTCTTCGAGTGGCGGTAGAGAAGATCCACTTGAGCTGTTATGTTGAAGCGATGGACGAAGGCGAAGAGCTCAGGTGCATACTCTGCGAGCCTCGACTCAATGTCAGCACTCAGGTCGCTGTCGTAGAACATGAACGGCGTTTGAAGATTGCAAACAGCAAGCCCATCATTGATAGCCTGCTCGATAGCCAGCCTGTCAGGCGCAGATGTACAGCTGTCCGGTAGGAGATAAGCACCCTACAAGCTGTCAGTTGAGTTACAACGGTGTTATATCTTGAGAGTGACGGACCGAAGCGTCCTTCCGAGGTGGCGTCAAGATGAAAAAAATGATCGCCACACCATATAGGTTTGTGTCTTCGGCCGGCCGGCCTCGCGCGGCGCGACTACGGCTTGAAGATGACTGAAACAGATATGTGAACCTCAGCGTCAATGTCGGCTTTTCATCACTACAGAGTATCACCCCATACCTTAAACTGGTTCGCAGCCTTCCGCGCTGCACCCGAGCCAGACCCGGCAGTTTGATCGTGACGCTTGGCAGAATGTTTAGGCTTTGTAGACCGGGGAGCTTGCGAAGCAGAGGGACCAGCTGTAGGAGATGGCGAGCGGCTAGCACGTCGACGCTTCGGAATGCCCGACGCAGATGCACGTGCTGATGGGGCTGTGTGACCTTGAGATCTCATGCCATTGATAGCCTCCCGTGCTGCAGCTGCATGGGTGGGTGCCGATGAGGATGACTGCTCGTCGATGTCATCGAGCATTGCCATGACGGCAGCGTTGGAAGTTCCGCGTAAGCCAGATGTTTGACGGGAGTTGGAAGAGGGCCGTTGGAGATGAGCATGGGCTGTACGCGTACCAGTCATTTTCACGTCATATGCAATGAAGTAGTATTGTACGAACCAGAGGCATGACGTTGAGATCTGTGGCCAGATGAACGAGGTGGAGAACGTGAACGTGAACGAGAACGAGAACGAGAACGAGAAGACGTCTGTCCTTGTGATGATTGCGCAGAGTCAAGGTGCGCTGTAACAACGCGTCGACAGGTGCGGCATGTCTTTAGCCCAGAACCTGTGGGCCCAGATGGATAGAAGCGGTCGCACACTGAGTCCACCGAACCGGCAGCCATTGCGCAGGAAGAGATGCGGGGGGGTCAACGTACCCATGGCTGGAGACAATTGACCTTATATACATACATGCGAAAGAGCGAGATGAGATTCTAGTATACTACGCATTACACTAGGTATGCATCTGTAAAGCTTCGCCCTGAGTTCGGGCGTGTCAGCTTGTATAGTTTGATCATTGTGTCAAGATCGTCGTCCGATATGTTCGAGTAGCGGGGTCCTATGCCTGCCTCCTTCCGACGTCGGTAATGTGTTGATCGGCTAAGTACCTTGAGGGATTTGACGACACGTTCATGAGTGATCTTGCGATGAGGCGCGTTGACATCCCGGAGGAAGTTGATATCAACCTCGGTGCGTGGCCGACCACGTCTGGCGGCTCGGACAATCTTCACAGGATTCAGACGGGTAATGTTCGTCGATTCTCTTTGGGTGGATCAGCCATCTGAAGGCAAGGACACAGCATAGGATGCGCACTCAGATCCCTGTTTCTGATCTCCGGCGAGGCGCAGTTGGACAATTGCTCCGCCTAAGCGCAAAGCCGCGGCCTCCGTCCATTCTTCATTGTCAAGATCGTCCGACAGTGCTGCCAGAAGCGGCCACGTATCATCCTTGAGACGATGGGCGAGCATTCGTAGTTGTAGTGCAGACGCATCATCTTGGTTCAATAATCGGACTGCTAGGCTGTAAGAGCCTTTAACAAGATCGTAGGCACGGTAGGTATTATTGGATAGTTTCTCATCACTAGGGAGCTCCGGAAATGCGGAGAGCTTTATGGAGCGGTAGTTCGGTTCGGCTGTCATGACGGTCACAGTACAAGGTTCGCCTGACGAGAGCAGCACCTTGTCCGCGAGTTGATCTACGTCACGTGCAATGTTTCCCATAGGCTACGAGCCTATTGTGCGAGGAGTATAAAGGCTCGACTCGCTACCTCGAATTCACTCAGCGTATTCTGCCTGCTCAGCCTACTCTTTCAGACGTGCGTCTCCGACGGTCGAGTCTCGCTGTGCTCTTCCTCCGTTGCTTCCTCCTATGTTGTCATCTCAATCTCAATCTCTATCGCAAGCTGGGTCAGTACCAGCTCAACGTCGTATCATTCGCTGTGTGGAGTCATACTTTCTGGTGCGTCTGTAGTTCTGTCCTCAATGAGTCTGTAAGCATCGCGAACTCAATCCATGACCAGACTTCCAATGGCGACATCTTCGGTTTACCGGCGGCATTCCTCAAAGCACGAGTGCCTATCATCAGCGACATGCTATCTTTGCCTGCTGTTCCTGGACAGACCGCGGAAGGGCAATCTCCTGAGAACCCCATCACCATGCCAATGGTCTCGACCGAGCAGCTCCAGACGCTCAGTGACTTTTGCTTCATGCCGTAAGTTGATCCCTCTCTTGTTGCTCGCATTGTCCCATGTTCATGTTAGTACCAGGCGTGACTGCCTCAAAGGCAATTTCAACCACCTCGTCATGTTGCTTCATACGTCGGATGCATTGGGTTGCGATGGAGCTCATACCTACGCACTCGATGAACTGCCGAAGTGCAAAGAGTGGACCCTGGTACAGCAACTGAGGCTTGCGGTCGCGTACAACATACGCCCTTGGCTTGTGTCATCGTTCAAGGCACTCATTCGGCGTCCAGCATCTGATATCACCGTGGAGGAGTGTCTCATGCTCGGCTTCAAGATCCTCCATGATCTCGACCTTGCTCGCGACGAGGTAGACAAGCACCGACGGCGTTAGCATGCTCCGAGCTCCCATTCAGACCAGGCAGCACCTGCAGAATGCCTGATGGGCAGTGCGAGATGGTGTACAGTCAGACTTGGGCCGAACTCGGGCCACAATTACTTTGTAGCCCCACCAACGCCATTCCCGGGGAAGACATCATGGAGAAGCTCGACAAGATCCTCGACGCTATGACTGAGCTGTGCAGTAGCTGCCATGTATATTCTACTGAGCATTTGCGTGAGCTGGCCCAGTTCGAGAAGGAGCTCGAGATCATTGACGCTCATACTTACTCATTACCTTATGAGCTTACGCGTTACGGCCTACCCTTGATGACGATTGCCGTTTTACTTCTCCCGATTCGCCTGCGTGACTTTGTTTATTGTGTTTCACGTTTCGGGGGTCTCAAACGCGGCGCGCGCGGACAAAGTTCCGCTCGACTTTCCACTCCTACCTCCACCACCGTCGTCGCCCACCATGCTCTCCACCCGTGCTAGCTACATACACTCTTGTTCATCAAGGATGAAGCCTCTCCACTCTCAGGGCGCGCAGCCCAGAGTGTTATTGGCCGGGGGTTCGTCCCTTTGTCAGTCGCCGCTTTATGCGGTGACACTGGAGAGGTGGATGTGCCTTGGTGTTCGAGAGTATGCAGCGGTGCGTCTTATGGAGAAGATTTTCCATCCCCCTCATAAAGTATGTGCGCTACACGCCGACCTCCACGGCGATTCTGATCAGTTTTTGTAGCCAAACCCAACTCCTCGCGCGCACAGAAGATTCGCGAAGACTCACCTCAGGGTTCTTCAAGGTAAGCCGCCTTGAACCCGTGCGTTAATGTATTTGGACCATACTCACCCACCGGAAGGTTCCCTGTCGAGTTGCCAGTCTTCGTGCCCGTGAGCGGGTGGTACGAAACAACGCGTGAAGCCGACGCCACACGGGCGCGTGTACGACCTGCGTTTTCGAGAAGCATGCAAATCTTCATCTCGAACCGCCATCTGCCGCCCACGCCCGGCCTTTCCTCTCACACCACGCGACTACCGTCAACTTGCTCTTTGGACGAGGAAAATATGAGGTGTGACGAGGGTGCGTGTCTGAGTTTATCGCGTGAATACTCGTACTCATTTCTTATAGAGTTAACGAGCGCAAAGTCCGGGCTCAGTCCAGCTCACGGACTATCCGGCGCAGAATCTTCTTCGTATGTTCTTGCACCCAGTCCCCGCATAGCGCTCTGCTGAACCGCCAGGACACGGCCAGATATCGCCCGGCTTGCGGCTCTGCACTCGGTTACCGACATAGCCGTCAGCCGTCGACCTCGCCCACGCCATCGCCCGCTCATCGACAACATGTAGCCATTGCTATCAGGCTACGGCGCGCGAGCGTCAACGCGCGCATCACTCGAAGGGCGGGCGCGCGTTCTCGAGCGCTGCAGCCCCCAGTCGATCCGCTCGAATGCTTTGCGCATGTTCGTTGCTCAACGGCCTCTGCACCCGCACATGGCAGCACTCAGCTCACCGCCGGGCCACTCTCTCCTGGCTAGCACGCAATTTTCGTTCACCACGGGCTTGACGCCGAGTTCGACACCGATAGCCCAGACGCGTGTCAGTCTACCGCATACGCGCCGCCCGCTCGTTCGGTTCTGGCTTCAGGAAGTCCGCGGGGCACCTAGGACTGTATCAAGGCTGCGCTCGACCTCGCGCGGGCGCCTGCAGGGCAACACAGCTCGTACAGTGGTGCACCCTGCTTTGCAGAGCCACACGACAAACCTCCAAGCGAATGGCCGCAGCTCAGCGGTAGCCCGCGTCCTAATGCAATCGTTCAGCGCAAGGCGACAAACCCCGCCTTGTCACTGGGTGACTTGTCGGCGCCAATCTCGGTAGCATCTCGGCATCTGGTACGCTGAGCGTCTCGCAGCTCACGCCGAGCGCCATCGCGCATTTTGCGATGCTCGGTCTCCCCGCCTCGGGTCGCGGTTCACCAGCCTCGTTTGCGGACCTCTGCACGGCGCGTTCGGTCCCTGCGACACTCCTTAGTGGTGACCCCGGTAGCGCAACCACTGCAGTGCTTCTCGCTAAGCAGCAGCCTGACTCGCCCATCTCGCCGGGGGAGACGAACCCGCTCGTCAACCACTTGAGCACGGGCGAGAGCCCGCTCTCCGGTGATGTGTCCAACAGCCTTACCCGCGCGCCGAGCAGTACCCACGGCGACAACGGTCTTCTGCATGTACCGTTCAATGACGCCGCTGTTGGCGCATACGGCGCGGGTGCATATGGTCAGGGTACATGTAGCACGGCGCTGTACTAGCAAAATGGCACGCGTTATGGTCTCGGTCTCGGTCTTACGAATGGCGACACAAAGATCAACGGGATCCATGGACCCAAGCGCAAAGTATGGTGACATGTCCTGCGAGTGTGCATCTACCCCTCCTCAAACTTTGATGTCTTCATTGCTGACTTCGCACGACACATAGTCAACCGCTTCGCTGGCACGCGCCTCGAGGAACTCATCGGCAAGATCCCCAACCTGTGCAAAGGCCAGCACGGTTGTCGCTACCTGCAGAAGAAGCTCGCAGAAGGCATCCCGGAGCACTTAGTCTCCTTCGCAAACGGGAATGATGCGGTGGAGGGAGAAGATCATTTCCGGAGCACCGCAACAGCATCTTCCGCGGGACCTTCGGCCACATCGCAGACCTCAATGAGATCACCTACAATGCCCTTACGCTTGTACGGAATCTCTTCGCCGACTACGTGCGTATATGCGCTTCTCACCACCCCTTTCATATCCTGACGCTCTTCATAGGTCGTACCATATATTGTCGACCTCAACGATATCCGCTTCTCCGGCGCCGTCATCCGCCAGTCCCAAGACAATGTCTGCGCCTTCTCCGTCCAGAAGTTCTTGTCGAACTTCATCTAGAAGTGCACCCACGTCATCGAGCATTCTACGCATAAGATGCTCATCAAGGAGCTCTTGAACCGCACGCGCCTCGAAAAGCTCCTGCACGATTCGTACGGCGACTACTGCGTCCAGTCGCTCTCGACTATGCCGAGCCTGGCCAGCGTGCGCCTCCCGTCGAGGGCATCCGCCTGGTCCTCCCGCTCATCCGGCACACGACATACGGAAAGTGTATCCAGAACATGCTCCAGCGCAAGCAGATGGATCACTACGTCTCCATCGGGGGCTACCCTGCAACGGCTCAGCAGAACCTCGTCAACGTGGCGGCGCTGCAAACCCACGGCCTCGATCATGCACTTGACCCGCGTACGCTGCGCCCACGCACGTGTACGGCCAGCAACACCTGCAGGCGCATCTCGCGCGCGGCGTCGACGCCTACGCCCTCCAAGGCCATTCGAGCCATACATCCGCTGCCGCTGGTCAATACGGCGCCGACTACAACGGGATGGGTGTCGCGGCATACCCTCAAGTGATCAGCCTCTTGCGCGGTCTGGGCGACTACGAGCGTGGGGTGTCGTACGGCTAAGGCATGTAAAAGCGGACGAGAGCATCCAACTTATCTCGTTTCGTCGCACCATTGGACCAGAACACCGAGTCGTCGAATCAGCACTATGCCTCTCGAGTCTCTTCATCCTCACCTCTTCCACAATATCAACAAGCCACACAACCTTATATCACGCACTGTTATCCTCGCACATGCACTCACTATCCCCCTTCCTATCTCCTACTCCCCAGGCCCTTACATTTCACTCCACGTATTGCTCAGTTGATGTATCTTGCTTCATCGGATACTCTTCAATTACTCGGTACGCCTCTGATGCGCTGCTTCATTGATCTTGCTCTACATATTATTTCATGTGCTATCCTCTCTACCCTGCCAGTATCTACCGCGTGCGGGAGCTCTCCGCTGTGTCCTCGCAAAACGCTCAGCACGATCGGCGTCCTTCTTCCGCACCGTGACGTGAATACCTCCAGAGCCCGTTGGAGGTGGCGGTGAACCTGCTACCGCCGCATTTGAGATGTTGCTCTCAACGTCGCTCTCAACATCTGAACCCGCGCCCCCACGAAGTCGCAGCGTGTGAGGTTGAGCAGTTGCACGTCGTGCACGCCTGGTTTGGTGCTGCAGTTCTTGTACAGTACTGTTTGTCGGCAGTATCGCCCCATGCAAATCACCGCTATTGAACCACCTTTGGGATGTGACACAATGATACTGATATCAGCGAAGTGATGTGCTTACCAGACGCAGTTTTCCTCAGTCTTGATGTACAAGCCCCACTTCGTGAATGCAAAGTCGAAGTCGGTGGTGGCATTACCACCTGCTTGCTTCAATACCTGGTTCGAAGGTTATTTGGAGCCTGCCGCCTCTTTGTCCGAGCAGCGCACCTGCGCCGCATACTCGAAGGCAAAGGCGGAGGAGTACCAGCAGAAGTGTGGGAAGGTTTGGCTGGGCTATCGGGAGTGTCTACAGGTGTGCACAGTGTGATTCTCTGCCGGGAGCGTATCTGACGAGCCTATCAGAAAGCTATCAGCTGGGTAGCTTGAGATATAACGGCGGTCTGCGCGATACATCCCTTGACAATGAGAGCCTAGAAGCATTCACGAGAGTGTGTAACTCGCACCCAAGTCTTGTCGACGAGACCCCTCAAGCACCTTCGCGTGATCCCAGGGCAGAACATCCCCTCAGGGCAGCGCATTCATTCGAGGTATAGTTGAGAAGGGCCGAAAGGTGCCGGTGAGTCTTCACATGCATTCAACAGTGACAGACTTGGGAATACTGACACCATCCTGCGCAGTTATTCTGTAACCTATGCTATGGGTTAAACCTGAAGTAGTGTAGAAATGGGAGACCCTAGCGATTGCATACTATGCGCACCCGTGAACTCTGACGGCGGCACGCGACGCGCCCGAGTAGCTAGTGAGATGGGTGACGGGTTTGAAATTGAAGGACTTGATTGGTAACGCATACATCCAATAGCTCACGCATGCATCACGAGTGACAGTCCGAGACAAGGTGTGGTTCTCTGTATGCAGCCACCATCACGCCGAATCAACCTTTGCCTACGTCTTCGTAGAGAAGCTCGTGCAGCACTTCGTCGCCTGTAATCATTCCCGTTCCATCAGACGAGGTACTACTGAAAGCGCGCGTGTATTGTCCGCGCCGGGCAGAACAGAGCCGTAGTGTGGATGGGAAGAAAGATGCACGGTCGCTGGCGCGCCGAATTTCAACGCGCGCATTAAAGGAGTGGCGCACTTGTCCTCACTTCTCTTCCTCACCACCATCATCGACGGTAATCGACAGTTTCTTTACAACGCGCACATTTCTTAACCCGACTGCGATGTGACTGTATCAAGGTTCTCCTGAAACCGCTCTGGCCGCGTCTCGTTCGATCAGAGGGTCATACCCTGAAGGAAAGCTCGATTGTCCCTTCGCACCAGTCCTAGCGCCACTATACGTCGAAATCTGCTACATTGACTTCTCATTCTACCATCTATCATCGGGACTGCCGACTCTTTCTTCAGTTCAAGCTCTAAATCAGAGGCTACGTGCTCGTGTCTCGACATACGCGCGACTCCGTGGACAGCGTGTACGGCGGAAAGGATGGCCGATTCCCCCACGAGGCTTGCACTTCATTCGGCGGCTATCACCTGCATGGGTCGCGGGAATGGACGCGGTATGTCTTCTCGTGGACGTCGTGGACAAGGTTGTGAAGCTCATGTTCTTCTGGATGTATGTGCAGGCCCGCGTCCCTGCGGGATCCAGCATGCTAGCGTTCATCCCCACAATCTCACAGTTACATTCGCTACGATAGTTATTAGCCGTCACTGGTACCTCTACGACTCCTGCAGGCTCTTGCTCGCGCCATCCGATCACTTCCCGCGGCAACACTTGCTCTTTCGCGCCTCCTTGGGGCCTCATCGTCGGTCATCTCGCTAAGGCCTCTCGACGTTCGTGCTGGCAGTTCACCATCATTCCCGCTATCCTCAACACTGATTTTATAATATTGCATTCGCATTGTAGTTCTTGAGGTTACACCATCGTTGCCACATTGATCGGACTTCATCGGCCTCAACTATAATATCGTCGAGCAAGCTCGCAGACCCTACTCCGCTGTTCTAGCTTTTGGCGTCAATCGAGTCTGGTCCTCAGTCAATCGTTCGCAGCTAGCTGTACTGGCGTGCTTCTCCAGTATAGGCCACGGGCTTCCGGATCAGGGTACCGGAGTGCAGACGGCGCGAGCCGCCTCTTGTTCGGCACACCTGAGTTTACGCGGCTTCAACGCCGACCACCGCTCGCATGACACCAACACCGCCTTGCTATTGTGCTGGCGTGATCGTACCCGATGTCGCTAGCCCGGGCTTTTGGCACCATCATACAGAGGGCTCGTCCACTAAAGGTATCCCAGTGAGCGTCTCAAGGCCAGTTATTAAGACATCGGCCTGGGCCTGATGGCGTCTGCGGCGTCTTATGCACGTTCCAACGATTCTGTACTCGTCTACTTGATCCCTTGACTGTGGTAACCGCTCGCGCACGACCACGCGTCGAAGCAACTCAGCTGGCGCATCCGCAGCCGCACGGCTGCACCTCTGCGGTTGGGAGAGACAGCTTGCTTCTTGCGTCTCACGGCTAGCTCTTGATGGTGCGCATCGTCGTGTGCATTGACATGCGCAGCGGCGGAGCAGGAATGGCCGGACGTCGTGCACATCACTACCCTTACTGGAGCCGGCGTCCGCACTCAACGTAGTGACGAAAGCTCAGCAAGTGAGCGGACAAGATTCGCTCCACAATATAGTATCGCGCAACGACTGCATCCAGTGGTGTTTTTACTCATACTGTCGTAGGTAAGCCCAGACAAGGTGAACCATGGCGAGTAGGAGAGATGCAACGGTCAAATTGTATTCGTAGGTAGATATCTCTGTACTATGGATGTATATCTAGTTCAGTGTATACAATCGAGTTCCATGCACCCGTCCGTCAATCAGCGCGAAGCGAACGTTGCGCCCGAAGATCAGCACGCAGATGATGATGCGTGCTAAAGTACGCTCTAGTAGGAGGTGCATCGTGAAGTAGAGTTAACGATTAGGCCCGGCGTATCCAGATTCGCTGTGGGAGAAACAGGCTCAGAGGCACGCGTGCACTGGGCGCTGGCCGCGCGCTGAGTGCGTCTTTGACTTGCTACCACCACCACCGTCCACCATCACCCTCACCTTCGATGACATTCCCTACTCACGCTCTCATACACTCTCAACACTGTCTTGATGTACGCTCTGGTCCTGGAAAGCAGTCAACTTCAAAGCAACACGGCTTGAACACTGTCCGAACCCGCGCGGTTCAACGCGATCTCAGAAGGCTTGAGAAGTAGAGACGGAAGTGAAGGAGGTACCTGAAGGCTTCATCGGGGAGTATTTTGTGAGTAATCATAAATTTTGATGCCTACACTTCTGACCAGCATATCAGGACTCGTGTGCTGAACTTACGGCGTGGCGTTTGCCTGCGTGCGTTCCTATCAACAGCCAGCAGAAATATCTTCACCATTGCCTCCATGCTCAAGGTAGGCGGGCTTGCTCTTCGTGCGTACCTTCTACCGCAGAGTTGTGAATGAGACTTTGACGAGGTGTACAGCGACCGCTCGAGCGGCAAGCTGGCTCACCTTTGCTACGACCGCGGACGCACTCGTCCGCCAGTACAGCGGGTTCGAAGACCTGGATCATATCCTCGCAAACCTGCACAAGCCCGGTTGGGAGAAGGACCGCAGGTGCGTTGCTTCCTCCTAAATCGACATTCGTGCTCTGAACTTATGACATTCATTACGCTCAGGCTTCGCTAAACGGTCTTTAACGCCGACGAGGGTGAAGCCGTCTTGTGTAAAAGCTGTGAAATTTTTGCGGTGATTTGCATAAGCCCGTTGAGGGCTGCTTCGTCGCCGGCCGCGGCATGAACGCCTCTGCCGCCTACATCTGCGTCCGAGGCGAGTTCATACAGGAACTTCGTCACCCCAGCAACCCATCGACGTGGCATACAAAGCCAGTTTCATCGGCAAGGACGCGTGCGGTTCGGGGTACGCGTTCGATGTGTACCTCTACCGTGGAGCTGGAGCGTACATTTGCGGAGAGGACACGGCGCTTATCGTGGGCGTTGAGGAGACGCAGGGGAGTCGTGAGAAGCCACGTTCCCGGCTGGCGTTGGCTTGTTCGGTTGCCCGACCGCCGTCGTGAACGTCTACCATCGCACAATGCGGCAGTGCGTGGTTCGCGGGCTTCGGACGCGAGCGCAACCGGCAACGAGGGCACCAAGCTTGTCTGTGTCTTGGATCACGTCAAAAGCCCGCGCGTTGCATAGGAGGAGATGCCGATTCCACTGGAGAAACTCATCGAGAAGCACTGCCGTGGTGTACGCGGTGGATGGGATAATTTGCTGGGCATCGTTACAGGTGGCTCGTCGGCGCCGATCATTCCGAAGGATACCTGCGCACGGGTCTTGATGGACTACGACTCGTTCAAGGACGCACAGACCGGGCTTTGGATTGGCACCGTCATCATCAACGGACCAGTCCACCGACCTCGCCTCCGCCATTGCCCGCTGCGCCCAGGTACGTCTCGCTTCTCTTACTTAGTTTCGCTCAGCCGCTTATCCTGATTCTTCTCGTAGTTCTACGAGCACGCTCCGTGCGACCAGTGCACACCTTGTCGGGAGGGTACGACTTGAATTATGACCGTGATGGATAAGTACAAGGAGGGCCGGTGCGTCTTCTTTCTTTCTTTCTTTCTTTCTTTTGCATTGAATTCATCGCTGACACATCTTTACAGCGGACGCGCACGCAGAATCGACAGGCTCATCGCACTCTCCACGCAGCTCTAAAACCCTCCAATATGCGCCCTTTGCAACGCAGCAGTCTGGCCTATCCAAGGCCTCATGCGCCACTTCCGCGCCCTCGTCGAGGACCGCATTCTCAAGTTCCGCGCCACGAACGAACCCATCATGTTTGGCGAGCGCCTCGCGGCGGACGTGGGCCCGAGCTTGGCGTTACCGGATAATTTGGGCGTGAATTTGAAGGAGGTCGCCCCGCTGCCGACGTTGTAGATGTGGTACAGTAGAGTATGGTGTTGGAGTGGACTTAATACAATTTTATCGCTATTCGTTTGCTTTGTAGCTGGATGTAGCGCGGCCTCTGAGGATGGCAGGCAAAGCTGTGAGGGCGCGATTTACGGCCCTTAGCCTGCTCATTTTTTGCGCTCGCGCTCTGCAAGGCTGACATTCTTGTGTAAATACGTAGCTAGGTTGTATACCTGTGCGTTTAGCTTGACACCTCCGCCACTTGCGCCGCACTTCATCCTTACGCGTGTTATCGACTCCAACATTCTGCGTGTTCTTCTGCGCCAGAGGACGACGCCGGCTGTTTGCTTACACGACTAGGATTGCATCTCTTGTGTGAAGTGATCGCAATACGCGCGCGTATGGCTCTATCCGCCGTTCGTCCGCGTTGTGGCGCGACCTGTTCGAATTCTCAAGTAACGTCATGAACATTCGGACGGGGTACATCTGCCGAGTAATAGGCTGTTGTGTAGTGACATGCATTGATAAGTCTACGATATCCTCGAGCCCTAGCACGCTGGCGCCGTAGAGTAGTTGAGAAGCATAGATCCGAAGTATGGCAGAGATGGTTAAGGAATCTGGGGAGGGGAGGGGAAGGACATCGGTGGTCGGATATCGATCGCATACTCTAGTTAGTCCTAGGTCAGGCTGAAGGAAGTGCATATATCGAGTGTGCATGGGCCGCGGCGTGGAGGGCGAGGCGATGGGCAGGCGCCGCGGCAGACTGTCGACCCGGCGAGCGCGGCGTGAGCTACTTGTCGAGCTCGTCGAACTTCGGCATGCCAAGCCCCTAAAAATGCCGCTCGCCGTAGTCGATCCATTTCTGCACGACGTCGAAGAAGTCCTCGGTATAGTGGAGCTTGTGCCGCCGGTTCAGCGCCTCGTCACATGAGTCCTCAGTGCTCACGCTCGCGGCTCGCCAGCTTCGCCGAAGGCGTCGAAGATATTCGCGGGCGGCGAGCAGACCTGGCTGCACCCTGTCACCCCGCGCTTGTCATTTACCATGCGCGTGTTAGTGATATGATGTATTAGTCGTGGACTATCGCAGAAGCAGCGGCAGTCCGCGCCTCCTGCTACGCCAGTGTGCCCTCGCGTGCACGAATGGTTGAGTGGTAGTACTCCTCGGGGAAGCTCTCGAGCGCAGGATCTTGTCCTGCGAAGTACTTCTCGTGGTCCAAGCGGATGGTCTCCTTGATGTACCTGAAGGGTAGTTAGTCTCCATGTCAGTGGATGATATAAGGAGAAGAGACGCACTCCTCCCACTTGGTTCCCTTGAAACCTTCGCCGAGTGTCTGGAGACGCTCAAGGAACCAGGCCTCAACCTTGGACCAGAAGTCCTCGCCCGTAGGGACCCTACCCGAAGGCCCCTTGCACTTTGTGGCAATCTTCTCTCCGTCATCGTTGACATACTCAATGACCCAATCTCCCCATGCTTTTTCTCGGATGAATCGTCGCTGGAGGGCTGATAAGTGTGGCGCGAGAAGATGAGAAGCCTGCAACGCACCAAAAGAGCAAAATGAACTTGATACTGTATAGGGATCTTCTGATCCGCAGGTAAACTGCAGTAGGTAGTGACGATGTTGAGGGTGGCGGTCGCCAGTGAACACTGCTGCTTGCCGACAAGGGTCTTGTACAGCTGAGGACATGTGAGTAAAGCGTTGGCAGATACACATGAGTTGAAGCGTACCACGAGACGAAGCGAGCCCGTCAGGTTCTTGGCCTTCTCCTTGCACGCTGAGCGAACGACGATCTCCGGGATATCGTTCCCCCAAACATGAGCAAACTTCTCGTGCTGGCGCAGCTTGGCCTGGGTACTCGGTTAGCACGGCTCACAGACTCATTGGCGGGGTCTCTAACCTCGATCTCGAGCGCAGTGTTCTTGTAGTTGATGCGCTGGGCCTCGCCGATGAGCTGCTTCGCCCGGTTGAGGATTATGAGCTAACGTGTACATGAGTGATTGCACGCCTGGGGAAGAACTTGAGTGTACTCACATTCTGATCCCGAGAAAGCTCGTATGCTTCGCGCAGACGCTCGAGGACCGTCTTTACGAGCGCATCGATTGCTTCTTTCTCGAAGACAAGCTTCTGTTGAGTGTTCTTCGAGTGGAGGTCGTGGGCTGCGCTGAAGATGTTCCAGTACATCTGCCCGTAAGACATAGCGATGTCGCCACAGGATAACTGGGCAAGGCATGAGATCTCGTTGAAGCAGAAAGTCAGAGAGCTCATACCTTGATCAATATGAGGATATCGTTCAGCTGACCCTCGGTGAGCCCCATATTATTGGAGCAGAGGATAGCGTAGTTGGTGAGACGTTCCACGCGCTCGTTGTCGAAGGCGCAGGGCTGGCCGTCACGAGTGAAGAGGTCGAACTGGGGGAACGGGGATTGATATAGTAGACGAGTGTTGTGCCGATGAGAGGCGATAAACCGAGCCCGGATACATCAAAAGAGGAGAGCCTTGTGGCCAAGGTGGCTTTCTCCTCGTCGCTCAACCGTGATACGATGTCGCGCCAGAAGTATTTGACGAAGCCAAGGAGTACGACGTGCAGAACCTCGCCTGGAGTGTCTTTGTGCGGATCGAGATCTATGCACGTATGAGCGGACAGGATACAAACTGAGCGCCGTTGCATACCTTGTATGCGCCATACGGGGCTGATATGCTCTTCAGGTATGTTATTCCGGATGAAGTCATCCATCTTCTGCTGCTTCTCGGGTATACTACCTCGCAGTTTGCGCCCAAAGTCCCATATCTTCTCCATAAATGTCGACTGGTAGGTGTCCTTGACGCCATGCTGTGTCTGCATCTTGCCTGCATTTGTCTTCCCACCAACGCGAGAGGCCTCGGTAAAGATAGAGCGCAGCTGGTCCTGAGACTCCTCCTTGCGACGAAAGGGATTATTCTGTTGGTTCGGCATGTGAGCATTACGAAAGCAGAGCATGGGGCTAACGCACAGATAGGAATCGGATCGAGCGGTCATACATCTGATGCATCGTCTCTAGCGGACGCTTACGGGGCTTCTTCTTCTTGGCGGTAGCTGTATCCGAAGCAGCTGATGATCCCGAGATACCGGACGTGGATGCGCTCGACGCATCGGTCGATGAACCGGTCAAGGATGAGTCCAGAGAGGATGCATCACTGGAACCATTGGCGTTTTCAGCGAGCGGGGATCTTACAGGCTCAGTAGCGGGCGCCGCCTGTGTGTCGAGTGGTGAAACAACGATTGGGGCGCAGACCCCGCATTCGGACCATCATCATCGTCGTCTGCATCACTCCCGCGCACTTTGCATATACGGCAGAAGTACTTGCCCATCAGGCCGATGTGGCATGAGAGCTCGCTCTGCATAGGGTTATCTCCCAGCAGAGCTAGAACTTCTGGTATGACGAGAACCGGCTCGTTATTGGCGTAATCCCAGACCCACCACCCGTCACGCTGCCCTTCCCTACGAGGAATCAGTGAGGAGCGCGATGGGGAGGTATGGCAAGTACGTACTCAAGTTGTGATGCGATTCCGTCGAGCATCTCGAGTGGCGGTGCGAGATTAGATGTACAACTAAAGTGAACATTTTGTTGTTGCTGAGCCATTGCACGGGGGAGGCCAGCGGCAGTCCAGAGGAACGAGTTGTGCTTATTCCATTTCTTCGAACTGTTGCCCGAAGTATCGTCGCAGTACAGCCACATCATGAATGTGACAACTCGGTGCTGTCGAGCCTTTGCGCGCCAGTTGTTATCGAGCACCGGGTTCGCGACACGCGTCCACGGTGTCACCTCACCGTGCAGCTCGTTGCGCCTTCCTGTGATGTATGAGCGCACAGTCAGCTGATCAGGGTGTGAGCGTCGCTCACCGAGAATGGATCCTGGATCAGGTACAGATAGCGTCTTGTGCGTCGCTTGAAGCATCGGGAAGGTAAGCTGTAGATGACTGGCCGGAAACTCGAGCACAGAGTGCTCGTTGACGATGTAACCTCCGTGCTCCGGCCGATCTCCAATAACAGCCTCAAGACGCCAAGCTTCGACGAAGAACTCAGCTCGTGAGCCCACATCAGTCGTCACTTCGCGAGTGAAGAACCGGAATGGCATGCAAATTTCGCTAGCGCTCGCATCGCTCAGACGAACGGGTTCGAAGATGAGAAAATCGTTTGAAGCGCCAGTGTGCGGGTTTTTGACGCGTGGCATGGGCGATAAGATGGACGGATCCGCTTCATGGCGCCAGCGTGCAAACTGTCGAGCTTCACCCATTCCGGCACTCGGCTCGATGTCCTCTGGAAAGACTCGGATATGCTCAGATATGAGGGGATTGGCGAATTCCTTCGCATCGCGCCGTGAGCACAAGGTCGAGTGAGGCATAGATCGAGAGAACAAACCTGCGCGATCTGATCTTGTAAGCTATTAGCATAGTATACGTGCCCAAGTGCACCCTGAAAGCGTAGGGTTCGAATGCCGATCTTGTCCTGAAGGTCGTCACTCATCTCTTTCAGCCAGGAGACGGACGGTATGCTGTCGATTCCGAGTGTTGTGCAGCACCAGTTAATGGTCTCCATCTGTGAGTCCGAAAAGACGGAACGTGGAAGATGACGACAAACATCGAGAACTGCGGCCTATAACGAGGCGGTCAGTGCAGGTCGCGGATGTGCGCATTTGCCACATACAACACGGTCCACATAGGGAGTATAGTTCGGGTCGGCAGGCATTTTCTTGGTTTGCCTTGGCCGTGCTGCTCCTGGGTACCTAGTGTGAGAAGACGAGCGGTCGCCCATCGTAAGATATAAGCCATACCAGTTTGGTGATATTCCTCGGGCGCCTGACCTGGTCCGACATATGCACCGCCATCGATGTTGAGACCACCGCCGTTTCTCAAGTAGTCACCAAGGTCTTCGGCCATGCCGACCAGTGCGGCCTCCCGAAACCCGGGAGCAAGAGAGTCGGGCATTGGAACTGGCGGGAGTTCGGGAGGGACGAAAACGAATGGATCTCCGTCAGGTAGTGTAGGTGTACGAGCGTGAGGCGTCGACAGCTGAGTAAGAAGGTCGTCCATTCTTCCGGCAACCTCGCCGACCAACTCAGGGTTGAGAGACGAGGGTGAGGCAGAGCGCGAAGTAGAAGGCGAAGATGCCGATGAAGTACTTGCTAGCCGGCGAGCGGTCGCTAGCGTGTTCTTGTGCGTGGGTGTATTTTCGTGGCGGGCGGTCTTGCTACAATCGATCCAGCTCTTACAGACTGTACAGAACTTCTTTCCGCTCTTATCGCCAGTTCCTGTCCGCCACACTGTTGTGCAGACTGATGAGCACAGTACCAGCAAGAAAAGCCACGAACTCACTATTGGAGTCTGACCCTTCCACACTTCCAGGCGCCATGATTGGAGATCGACGCAGAGCTGATGGGCGCACAAAGGTGAGTTGGTGCCGATGAGCCAGGGCCGTACACGCCGGTGTCAGGTACGTCGCCGGGCGGAAGCAAATCGAGCGCGATCAAACAGTATCCCATAACCTCACACGCACTACGAGAGTAGTACAGAGTCCATCATCGAATGTATAGTACTAATGTTACGGACATAGTGGAGAGGACTGTCGTTATCGTGTTATGTGGGAGTCCGTCAGCGACGCGCAAGCCAGCCCGCCGCACACAATCTCGGTCAAGCGCATTGCTCGAATCCGCTCCATCCTCGAACATACTCAACACTCAGGTCAGCAGCGCGCGCTGCACGCGTCGGCGATTGACTGAACTTTGCCTCCGGTCAAGTCGAAGGTCGTAGCATCAAGTACGGTAGCATGGTCGTAGGAAGGAAGTCGGTCTAGCGCCGACCGTGGCTATAAACCATCTCCCACGTGCGAGCGGGAAACTCCGGGCGCCTCTAGCCCGCAGGCATCCTTTTACAGACTCATGTACGATAGGCCTCCCAATGGGCGGTGTCTCTCAATTGCAAGCGACGCGTTCGAGTTTTAATGTCACGCGATCGCGTTCGTCGCTCAGGCAGCCTCGGCCGCGCAGTCGATATCGGTTGAGCGACGTTTTGGTTCCGAACCGGTGTCCGCAACCGGTTGAACCCCATCTTGGTGCTCAACCAAAGGCGCTTGGTTACACACCGATTTCAGGGTTGGTGTCGAACCCAAGCCTCGTCGTCAGTTCCAAACCGAGATAACCCGCGGCAGTGTAGGCACCAATATTGGGGTGTAAGATAGGTGTAAGACGGGGAAGAAGTTCAACTGAGAGATGACGCAAATGAATGAGTCAAAAGTACATGCTTGAAACACTCCTGCACAACGACGTGTGCTGCAGCTCTCAGAGTCTCTAGGTACTCAGGATACTCAGGAATCATAAATTCCACGTCGCGCATGTCCGCGAGGACATGCGAGGAAATCGTGACGCGCATGTGCTGACAACGCCTTGCAACAGCTAGCTCGCTACGCACAGTGGCGAGCGATAGCAGGTCCACCAGAACTGCCCGGAAAGCCGTGGTGCAGTGACTCGCACGGCGATGCAAGCGAGTTCGGACATCGTCACGTCGGCGCCGGTGGCGAGCTTTTTTGGTGCTGCTCTTTAAAAGCGCTTTGCCAAGAAGCCCGATCTCGCTATGCTGGCTGCTATCACGGTTGTCGAGGGAAACTGCATGCACCGCGCCGAGTGGGGACACAGTGCTAGGCTCCTCGGGCGTGATACTGGGGCCCTTGCTCTCTGGCTGCCCGTGCGCAGTGACGACTAGGGCATCCTGGTTCGATATGACGTCGCGGTATATTGAGGTCCACGTCTCGTCGTTCACCTCCATCAACGCAGGGCGGTAGACACAAGGTCCCCATGGCTAGTGAGCTCCCCCGCCGTAGTCGTCGCACCTAGTCTCGCCGGACTTCGCGAGTGCGACATAGTATACGAACTTCGAGCGCAGCAGCCTCGCAAAGTCTACGACCCGAGACAGCTGAAGGAAGTTGGCGTCGATGCGGGAGGGAACTCAAGCGCTTCAAGTCGCGGAAAGGTGGTCTTGTCGTACTTTGTGGTGTTGCCATCTTCGGGTACGGACGCTCTGTTGGTTGCCCTTGCAAATGTCAAGCTGAGGCTCCGCAAGAGCACGCTCTCCCGTATCGCATAGCGCAGAGTGAGGACGTTGTCGACGCAAAGCTCAGCCTTCTTGATTGACTTGGCTTCAATTGATGTGGAGGGGTTTACGTGTCCGGAGGTCCCGGAGACGGTTCAAGACAATGGGCGGGGCTTCATCCGAGATGTGATGCGAATGAAGACCACAGCTCTCGACGTGGAGTTCAACTATATCTCTCCGAGAGAGAGGTTGCAGCACCACTTGCGAGGAAGGCGTGTTCTCCTCGTCCGCGGTCTTCAAGCCTGCAATCGGCGTGAAGCACTTGTAGCTGTTCCGGAAGCTTGGCCACGAAGTCGCACAGGTCCTTGAACGTGTAGCAGAAGATGGCCGCGCTTGAAAGACTGGATGGAAGATACAGAGGCCGCCCGGACCAGGCAAGGTGCCTCAATTTTGGGAACATGGCGGCGCTGAGGGTAAAGATCGCTGGCTTGCCGCGCGCGTCTTCCTTGTCCATGCGGCAAGCGAACTTGAGCTCTCGAAGGTTGTTCCAAGGCTCGCTGGGACCCGAGAGTGCTGCGAGCCATGCGTTTCCGTAGACCAGAGTCTTGAAGGACCGGGAAATGCGGACGCGTTCGAGAGTAACGGCATTGCTTTCTGAAAGCTCGCCCGCCGTAGAATCCAAATCGGAATGGTGAGCACGTTCCAGGATATCCTCGATTTGGGCACGAGGTGGAGGCATGCCGTGCATTGAGCGCCACACGTCTAGCGGTTTAAGAATGACGGCGCGCCAGTAGCGACTAACGTGTATTGTGGTTACGAAGGTCCCGCGAGGATCTGTGATGAGGCAGAGCCGCTTGAATATCATCATGAGCATCTCGGGTGGGAGAAAGAGCAGTTGACATTCGGAGTTGATTCGCCGACTGATACGAGTGCCAGGTGGTATATAAGACTCAGGTCTCGCAACAATCTCAAACGCGCTAGCGTCCGAGCCGTCGCGCTCGTCATCCAACTCGCCCGCGGCCCGAGCCGACCCGCGGCTACCGCGGGACGAAGTTGAACGGCCCGATGCGCGCGACCCCGAACAGTGCTGGTGCCCGAGGTCGACGTTCTCCCATTCCACCTGTGCTTCAGTAATCTCGCGCCGAAGACTGCTGAGGTGCCCGCCGCGCGACTGCATGAGCCGTTGAGCTGCACCGGAGTAGCGCGGCTTGCTGGCGAGCGAGATCCGGGTCCCATGCGGGCGTTGTACGCCCAGATAGTATGTCGAACGCCTGGCGCAGAGCGTGGTCCGGGAGATCAAGAATTGTTACCCTGGATGCAAGTCAGCGGCTGTTCGAGCGGCATAGATAGTATAGCGCGTACAGGTTGGTCTCGCGCGTCGCAAGGAACTCGTCGCTGAGCACAGCAATGAAGAGCAAGGTCGGATTCAGTCATGGTGGTCGGTAAGAAGAGTTCGGGATGCGTGCGTCGAGTTCTCGATGCCGATATAGTTGAAGGCGGGCCTGCTTGTGGCAAATTAGCTTTTCGTCCAGGAACGGGGTGCTTACCGTCATACTCACTCCTGCGTGACTCTCGCGACTCCAATCTGTGTGCCGTACGTTTTCTAGATTAGATAACAGCGCATAATATTCTAACAGAAAATCGTTGCAGACACTAGAATACGCGACCGGCGAGCTCCTCCTGCAGCACCCATTCCCGATCATCGCTCACCGAGTTCTCTGTCGAAAAACGAGCCAGCTGGGCTTCCCATCCCTCGCCCGCCTCGTTCTCCAGCTGCTCCCGAAGAGCCGGGGTCTTGTAAAACTTGTTGGCGGGTTTATAGTCGTGCGCGGCCCACTCTAGCAGCCCCGCGGGACAGTACTGAGTGAACGACTCGCGCGTTTCGCCCGCGCCGATTTCGACGTTGCCATGCTGCACGCAGGCGGAGGACAGCAGGATCGTGCCGCCCGCAGCAAAGCGTATATACATACGCAGCTGGGGCAGGATGGGGTGACCGCCGCGGTCGGCGTTGAAGTTCCCCATCGCCGTTATTGCACAAGGCAGGCCAGGGTAGTTGGAGGCGTCGCAGTGCAGCCTGCAGACCGTGCGCGGGCCGCAGTTCACACACGCCATGGGGTACACCGAGCCGGGAAAGTTGGGCGTGAGGGCCGGGTCGTGCTTGTAAAGCCGGTTCATTGCGCAGCGCAGATGATGGTAGGCGCGAGGGAACCAGGCTGCAAGGGCCTCTGTTGCGTCGTTAGTAGTACTTCGAGCTCAGTAAGTGCAGGACTGACCGCTGTGCAGAGCCGCCACCTTCTGAAGGTCTTCGTCGCGTCTTAACTAATCCTGCGCGACGCGGCCGTCCTTTGCATGCTGCACCTTCGCCAGAGGTTTCTATAACATTGTGCGCAGTCAGAAGTGACACGAGCGGGCAAGGGTTTGTACTCACGAGGTTGCCACCGCCGTACGAGACGCCAAAGTTGATCGCCGCGAAGTCCCCGCGGTTAGCCGTGTCCTTGTTATCGGCTGGGAGGGCATCGGGCAGCTCGGCAGGAAGCTCGTTGAGCTTGGCGGAGAGACGCTTGAAGAGGTCCGCCCAAAACTCTGCGGCCCCCTGTCCCTCCGACTTGCCAGCGAGAACGACAATGATCCTATTGTCGTTGTCCGTGATGGTGTGAGTCAGAGTGTTCTTGTTAAGCACTGAACGGTTCGATCTAAGCCAAACGTGCTTACCCGTCCTTCCAGTCATAGCGCCAGAATTCCAGCGCATCAAGGGTCGGTAGATCTTTGGGTAGGTCGAAGGGGTCCAGGCGCTGCCCTCTAAAGCCGCCTCTGCAGACAGCGTATTCGACCCTAGCGTCCGCGGTTACGCCGTGCACTCTGAACGCCCGGCCTCGAGAGGAGTTCTCCTTGTGGAGGCGTCCCCACGGTCCAGAGCGCGCGCGTATATCCTCCCTCGCGTCATCCTTCAGCCCCTTCTTCGCCTCCCCCAAGCTGTCTTGGTGAGCTCGTCGTTTTTGTCCGTGTTCAGGGTCGTGTCGGGGCTTCTTTTTCTTCTTTCGCGCAGGCGGCCGCGCTCCGACATCTCCGCCAGTCGCGCCCACACGGCGCTGCGGCCCGCCGCGTGGCGACGACGGCTCGACTAGCTTGGGCTCACGAGGTGGTAGCTTGTCCCAAACGGCGCGCGTATGGCTTCGTCCTCTTGTTGCTCGCTTCTCCTTCCCAGCCCCGCCGCTCGCTGCCTGATCGGACGAGCCTATAGCAGTACTCGGAGAAGGAGAGCGCGCCCGTTTTCGAGAACTCCGCCGGCACGTCGCCTCTCCAGCCACCGCCGCATCGCTGCCATCGTCAGATAGGTCCGACAGATCGCCGGCGAACAGAGCTGAAAGCTTGCCAGCGTTGCTGAGACCGTCCGTCCTTCCTCGTCACGGTTTGAATCGAAGAACGTGTGCGCGTCGTAGTCGGATAGATCGAACCGGTCCGACGGGTCCGACAGCGAGGACGCGCGCGAGGAGCATCTTGTAATGTTGGCGGGAGCGGGGAGCTCTTGATCGCAATAAACGTCCTCGGCGAAGGGGTTATAGAGGGCCAATGACGATTCTGGCTCGTCCTCCTCCGAGCGCTCGCAGGCAATCGGCTCACGCAGACAAGCGGGACGCCGGTGCAGGCTTAGTCGCCTCTCGCATCTGAGTGCGCGGCTGACGGCTCGTAGAAGCGGCGCTATGCAATCGCGCCGCTTTTTGGACTGCCGACTCGCCGGAACGCGAACGGGAGATGCAGCGCGAGCAGGTGCCAGCGACCACGGAATATATTTTGGAGAGCAGGAGCCGAAGTCAGGCAGTCCGTGGCTCCCGTCGTCAAATCCAGAGCCTGCCAAGTTCGCAAGATCGGCAGGCGTGCGAGCGCTGAGAGAGTTCGCGAGCCGCAATGCCCGCGCGAAGTCCATTCGGCTAGAGACATGGCACACGATAGCTGCAGGAGGAGTTAGCATGTTATACACTCTCCGCAGTGAGTACGCACGCTGGGCGTTGCCGTCAGAGGCGCCCGCAGACACTCGCGGGTGGCGCACAGGCCTGGCTACAGCTCGTCATCCCGCAATCGTCAATAGTTGTGAGCCTGATAGTGATAGAGGTCAGTAGTGACGTATCGTCAAAGTTGGTGTAGTTCCTACCTCCTACTGCACTAGGGTGTACCGTCGCACAAGCTGGAACCCTAGAGGGGACGATTGATATCAGCGAGGTCGGGAGCACGATCGCCATTCAATGAGACAAAGCTCGGAGTATTCCCCTAACGCAGCAGCGGTGGTACAAGGCCGGTTTCCCGTGGTGCCAACACACGAAGGTACCGCCTTCGCTTGTGGCCGCTGTGCAATGAGGGCTGTACTCGGGCTATAGCGTGCATTGCATCACGTTTAAGCGCAGTCTGACACAAGCATGCCAGGGATTTCATGATAGGTCAGATTGGAAGCTCACCGAAGAGTGGGGGTAGGAATGGCGGGGTCGGGCGCGTCAGAGAGAAGGTTGTCGTCGTTGAAAGCAAAGTCGCGTGTGAGCTGTGGCACGGCCAATAAACGCGATCACGTGCATTTCTGAACTTCGCATCAAGCTCAAGTCGACGTCGCCCGCGCTCGCCTTCTCGCTGCTTTGGCCTACGCACGTTTTATATGTACCTAACTCCATCACATAATGCAGCAAGCGTATCAACCATCTACACCACGCGCTCATAGGGGAAAATGTATATGCGTCTAGTCGACGCGAGCGCGTCGCTCGCGTCTTCTTGCTCGAACTACATGCCAACTTCGCCTCCCTCTGAGCTGCCCGGCGAGTCAGAAGATGCTGAGGCCTCTCGAAGTACGCAGCTCTCTGCCTCTTCAAAGGTAGAGTGTAGTTCTGGCAGTGTTATTCCAGCGTCCTGAGAGGGCGATGTTAGAGAGTACGCTCAGCGAACCCGATCCGCTTGGAAGATGCCTGCGATCTGGCTGCCCCCGTTGGAGGCGTTACTGTGGACGGAGAAGAGGCTGGAATCAGATGATGGTCAGCCCAGCGAAGCAGGAGACAAAAATGGCGTACGAAGTGGCCGCCGTCTCAGCAGACCGTCTGCTGACTGCACTGCGCGCTGCTGAATAGATTGTTGATGGGCGAGCACACAGGACCAACGAGAGCATTGAAGCCGACGGAGAATGTTGGGAATGAGCTTATAGACCCCAGATATGGCAACCTGCCCACAGCCGATGGGGTTTGCCTAGCGAAGAAGTCAGAGAGTGCATAGTTTGAGCAGTGGAAACATGATGTACCGGCTGAACTTGGTTGCAGCACCGGAGGTCGCCCTTGTTGCAGTTGCTGACGGGCGCGGGTACGTACTGAGAGTCGGAGTAGCACGAGTTCGTAGCACTGAGGACCTCTGCAATAAGCGACGCAGACGGTGAAGAGGATTGTGATACGAACCGGCTTGGCCTCTGCCTGGTGGGCGGGCTCCTCGTACTCGGGCGTGTATCTAGGCTGGTATTCAGGTTGGTGCTCGGGCTGGTAGTCAGACTCCAATGCCTTATACTCTGGTGGTATTGTGGCTCGTACTCCGGCTCGTACGCGGGCGCCTCGTCCTGCAAGTGGAGATCAACACGAGTGAAGCATAGCGAGAGCGAGGGATGTACGTCGCGCTTGTCCTTCTTAGCCTCGTGCGCGTAGTGCTCGAAAGCGCAGTCGTACGCCTTATCGTAGGCACTCTCCTTCAAGCCGTACTCGGGCTTTTTTGTACGCAACGTCGTTACCGATGTCCTGCTGGTACGGGTCGTAAGGCGTGTGGTCGAATTCCCTGGGCTTGAAAACGGTGTGTTGCGGAAGTTGTACCTGCACTCACCACAAAAGCCCGCGGCCCTGCCCAGTAAGCGCGTTTCCCGTAGACGTGGCGCGCCACTTCCGCCTTGCTGGTCCACATGAATGACTGAGGCCCTTCGCGAGCTTCTCTCAGCGCGACGTTATTATCTAGGCGGCTGCTGCAGCAGCATAACCATCCAGCAAACGACTTCTCGGACATCACGGGTATCCGCGCCCAAGCCCGCGCGCCCTCCTCGTCCCCTGGCAGAGGCCACCAGTTGAACGAGGTGCTGTCGCTTGCTCCAGAGAGAGGTCGCGATTCGCTGGCCGTCAGCTCTCCGGGAGAGAGGTGCTGCTGGCGAGCACTAGGTGCCGGGCTTGGCCGCCGCGATGGTGGGTGGACACTGATGGCGTGAGGCGATGAATGCATGTGCCGGTGCGCGCTGGGTCCTACCGGTAGACCGTATCCGCCGAGACCAGGCAGGACGCGCCGCGACGACTGGACAGGAACCATAGCCGCTGAGGACGACCGCGAGTGGCCGGGTGTATTCTCCGGTACGTAGGGTGAAGGGTTCGAGGGCAGATCACGAACCGGAAGCGGCGGCAAATACTCGTTCATGCTGGCGACGCTGACGTTTGACACGCGCGAGCTCGGCCGGGCTCAGGTCGTGATTGAAGACACCGACGAGTATGAGTTACGGTCAGTGGCGCCAGACAAGCGGACACACGCGAAGATAGTACCACCGTACGGCACGTCGTTCCCAGACCAACTCGCAAACCGCAACGCTTGCGACGGACGCAAAATGAACACGGCGACATCAAACGACGGTGGCGGTGAGCGCGGACAGGGAAAATCAACCGGTCTTTACGATGCTGAATAGCTTCCCAGAACTATGCGTCGCCCGCCAATATCTTACGCACTGCATTGACGTGTAGCGCAGCGCCTGCATTGGTGCACGGGTAACGCTCGCGTCCAAAGCTCACAGACCACGCCCCGCCGCGCCACACAATGGTAGGTGCAATGACGACAGTCTCGACGTTTGCGACAGTGGTCGGGCAACCAGACAAACCGACGTCAGCCGCAAACGGCGGCCCCAAACGCGGCCTTCCTTGCTTCCCCTCCGTTCTCGCAGTAAGCTCCGTCTCCTCTCCGCAGATATACGCGCCAGCTCCGCGGTGACGGCACACGTCAAATGAGTCAGAACCGCAAGCGTCCCTTCCAATGAAGTCGGCTTTGTACGCCTCGTCGATAGTTTGCTGGAGGTGGCGCGCTTCTTGAATGAGCTCGCCGCGGATGTAGATGTGGGCGGCGGTAGCGTTCATGCCGCAGCCGGCCACGAGACAGCCTTCG